TACTGAATAACCAATAACTCCTCATTAACTTTGGGCGCTGTGAAACTGAGTCAGCGCGCCGGGCGGGGCGGACATTATTTTTAATGCATACGCCCCCGCCCACGCCCCACGCGCCTCGGCCGGCGCTTCCCAGCCCCGCTTCCGGGGCGCCTGTCCCGCGGCCCCGGGACCCCGACCCTCCCCCGCAGCCTGGTCCCGGAGGGGCTGAGCCCGGAGGCGCCCGGCCCTCGACAGCGCCCCCGGAGGCTGCTCTGCGCTGGCTCCACCGAGTCCAGCTTGCGGGGGGGCCTGCGCCCCAGAACAGCACCCCGTCGCGCGGAGGTCCGGACGCGCCAGGACGCGCCAGGGAAGTCGGCGCCTGAGGGTCGGGCGCTCTGGGTGGGATGGCTGCCTCCCGCTTCCCTTTCGGGAAAGGGCCAGCATTCCCACCCGCAGGCACTGGGATGGGGATCGAGGCGGAGAAATGGGGGAAAGCCCGATGCAAATGACTTCGCCGTCCTCGTCGGCCCTCGGGAAATCAATTCCATCTCCTGGCGGTGAGAGGTCCTGGAAGCTGTGCGGTTCCGCCTCCGAAAAGTGGAACCCGGGTGCCTGCACCTGCGTGACCACCCTTGCCAGGCCCGGGAAGCCTTTCTGTTGTAATGTACCCCGCGAATCACAGAAGGACGCCTCAAGAAGCCGAATTAAAGAGTCACATTTATTGCAATCCGGGACTACGAGGGAGCCATGCACTCCAAATCTCGAAGTGCCCTCCCCATGCCCACCACCAGATTTATAGGCAAAGGTCACAAAGGTATTGATTACATCCCATGGTTTGGAATGAGGAACCTGGTTCGCAAAAAAGCAGTTTACAGAAGCAGAATTAAGCATGTTAATTATAGTTTTGGGTCTCCGGATCAGAGTTGACAGAAACACATTATCTGGGACCGCTGGGTTGACAGGGAAACATTATCTGGAACCCTCGGGTCTTGGGATGATTGTGCTGTCCTGGTTCCCAGGTACAGAGGAATTTGCTTTCTAAAACCAGTAAGATCACAATCAATGGGATATTCACATTACAATCAATAAGGCATTCAATCGAATGGGATGATTTATACAATTCAGAAAATTAAAATAACTTTTCTATTGTTAAGCCAAACAGCAGAGTTAGAGTTAAACTATAGTTTCTACCTGAGATGATTGCTACCATACTTCACTTCTTTCTGCCAGAGTGAGAAACAGATGGTTTCCCGCTGCCAGGCTTCTCCTTGACCACAGTCGTGCCCTTTTGTTGGAGTTTGTTTACTTTGGAGTCTCTGTCAGAGCTGAGTCCCTGTTAGTGCTCCTGGGCCAGCTGCTCCCTGCCTGGTGCACAGACTCCTTCTCCTCCATCACTCGGGGGATGCGCCTCCTGTAGAGTTGGCCACTCTCTTCCAGTGAAATGTCGTCCTGGGAAGCTAGAGGTTCCAGCTCACCAAAGTAGCTGAGTGAGTGACCTTCACAGAACTGTGGATTCCTTGTAGCCATGCTCATTGCTTTTCCTGAGTGAAGAATTCCTCTTAAAGACCATTCTTTACAAAGCAGAATTGGTCCCATTAATTCTCTTCCAAAAAGAGACTCCATATCTTTTCATGATGACTTAACCCCTGACCCCTTCCTGGGGAAATTCTTCCTAATATGTTATCTACAACAGCTTTACCTACTAGGTCTTGTAGCAAAACCTTTGGTCATTTTCCTGACTGAACTGCAACATCTCCCCGCTGTCCACATTATGGGTGGGAATCTGGGGTCTGTCTCCCTTTCTCTGGATTTTCTGAGTTTTACCACAGCCTCTGGCACAGTGCTACACATAGGGCAATCAATGATGGTATGCTGGGACTGAAGTAAATGATTGTGTAGTTACTGGGAATAAAGGCTTTTAAAAAATATATTTTTATTGATTTCAGAGAAAAAGGGAGAGGGAGAGAGAGATAGAAACATCAATGATGAAGCCGGCTGGTGTGGTTCAGTGGTTGAGCATCGACCTATGAACCAGGAGATCATGGTTCAATTCCCAGTCACGGCATATGCTTGGGTTTTGGTCTTGATCCCCAGTGGGGCCTCAAGAGGCAGCCAACCAATGATTTTCTCTCACCATTGATGTTTCTGTCTCCCTCTCCCTCTCCCTTCCTCTCTGAAATCATATTTAAAAATAAAGAAAGCCCTACTTAAAAAAAAAAAAGAACATTAATGATGAGAGAGACTTATTGATTGGCTGACTCCTGCATGCCCCACACTGGGGACCAAGCCCACAACCAGGGCATGTGCCCTGACCGGGAATTAAACCGTGACCTCCTGGGTCATAGGTTGACACTCAACCACTGAGACACACCGGCTGGGTGGGAATAAAGGGTTCTATTATTTAATTCCTGTCTCCCCCCCAATATCTTATACATACAAGAATCCTAACAAGGAGACTACTACCTTATGGTAATACTACATTACCACAGATTTATCATTACATCCATTATACACACCATTACAAAACCTAATTTTATCAAGCACCAACAGTGCCCAAACCCTGTTCCTCAGTACTTCCCACATTTGGCCCCATCTACTCAAACCAAGAAAGTAGGTACTATTTTTATTCCCATTTTACAGATGAACAAACAGGCTCAGACAGGTTAACTAACTTGTTAATCACGTGGCAGTTAGCAGAGCGGGGATTGGAGTCCCAGCAAGCAATTCTGTTGCTTCAGTGAGCTTTTCCACACTTAGAATTCTGAGTTCAGATGGAAGTTCCACCTTCACCCCAGGTTCAACTTGACTGAAACAAAAACTCATTTTCAAGTGGTGAGCGGCCACCATTAGCTGGGAGACTTACTGTGTGCCAGGCACTGGACATATATAATTGCTAATGCTCAGACAACTCAGAATGATTTCCGCTTTGCAGAGGTTTACTAATCTATCAAGGTCACATGAAGAGTGGGAGGCAAGCCTGTACAGGGGTTGAGCTTGTGAGCGTCACACTCGAGACTACTGGGTTTAATTCTCTTCTCTGCCACTTACTATCGGTGTGCCTTAGTCTCCTTGTTTACAAAATCGGGCTTCATGGGGTTATTATGAGGATTATATGAATTAACACAGAAAAAGTATGTGACACTGAGAACTCAATAAGTGTTATTGGAAAAAAGGGACAGAGCCAGAATTTTATCCCGTCTCTCTGACATCAAAAACTACACTTTTCCACCCTGGCTGGTGTGGCCCACGTGGTTGGGTGTCGTCCCTCTGGTGCATCAAAAGATTCCTGGTTCAACTCCAGGCCACGGCACATGCCTGGGTTGCGGGCTTTCCTTCTCCTTCCTCTCTCTCTAAAAATCTATAAAAAACTGTGTAATGTTTATGTTTGTTTGTTTCCCCCCACGTCCCGCGTGGTTCAGGGTTCAGGATCTGGAAGAGGGCCGCACGCAAATGAAAGAGACAAGACAAGAAATAATAATTTGGAAATATTGGGGGACCAGGCAGGCAAGTCCAACTCAAGAGGAAGGACTTCCCCTGGTGCTCAGGCCTCGCCAACCTTTTATTGGTTTGGGATACACCATGGCCCTTAGGCAGGCAATTTCCAGTAACAGGCAGACTAGCCCATCAGCAAGGATTTACATAATAATAAATGGGGAAGTTGCTTCAGCTACCATTGTCTGGACTAAGAGTGGGTGCACAGCTCTGACCTTTGCCAGGGCTTCAAGGGTCACCAGCCTTCCGGGTTCCTTGTCCACACCTCTTTGCTAGTGAAGACAATAGGCAGCTTCCCACAAAAAACAAAGAAACAAAAACACTACACTTTTCCTACTATCTTAAGCTGCTTCTGATAAAAAGAAAAACTACACATGAGAGGAAAAAAGATGGTCTAACAAAGTGGTGAAAGTAATGGCATTTGAATGGTGGAAATATGGGGTATTTCTTTTTAGTCTTTAAATTATTTTCTTTTTAGTTTTTAAATTATTTTCCAAGTTCCCTTTAGTGAACATGGACTGCTTCCGTAATGAAGAGAGAAATATATCATGATAACCTCCACATTCCTCATATTTAACCCCAAAATTGCTCTTCTCTCCTGGCCTCATTGTCCCAGTCACTTTGGAGTTATCTGTACCCCCTGCCTTTCCTTGGGCTTTCCCTGCAAACATCCAGGCAGCCCCTGGGTCCTGACAGTCTTCCCTGGTATTCGCTCACATCCATCCCTTCTTGCCTGTTGCCACTGCTGCCCTTGCTCTGGGCTCTGTGCCAGCTTCCAGATGGACTCCCAGCCACCCTGCACACTGCATAAGGTTCTCTCCTCCAGCCCTGCCTTCATCTGCCAAGGCCCGACGAAAAGAGTGGTGGTAAAGTTTTCGTCGTCCAAGGCCCGACGAAAAGAGTGGTGGTAAAGTTTTTGTTTAAGTATAATGCACTTCGTCAATAACCAATAACCAACATCCTTCACCTGTTCAGACCCTCATTGACGCCAAGAGCCTCTCTGGCAGTGTGTATAGAGCCAGCTGTTATCTGGACGGATTCATGAAGTTCTGTCTGAGAGTGTCAGAGCTGTTGGGGGCCTTAGTTAAAGGCCTTCGCCTTATGTATAGCCTTATATAGTATACTAGAGGCCCGGTGCACGAAATGCGTGCCCTGGAGGGGTGTCCCTCAGCCCAACCTGCACCCTCTCCAATCTGGGACATCCCTCTCACAATCCAGGACTGCTGGCTCCTAACCACTCACCTGTCTGTCTGCTTGATTGCCCCTAACCGCTTCTGCCTGCCAGCCTGATCTCTCCCTAACCACTCCCCTGCCGGCCTGATTGACGCCTAACTGCTCCCCTGCAGGCCCAATTGCCCCCAACTACCCTCCCCTGCCAGCCTGGTCACCCCCAACTGCCCTCCCCAGCCTGTTTGCCCCCAACTGCCCTCCCCTGCCAGCCTGGTCACCCCCAACTGCCCTCCCCTGCCGGCCATCTTATGGTGGCCATTTTGTGATGACGTGGGGGCAGCCATCTTGTGATGTGGGGCGGCCATCTTGTGATGACGTGAGGGCACGAGGGCCATGTAGGCTTTTATTAGTATAGATAGGAAACTGAGGCCCAGAGATTTGACCTTGATTTGTTCAGAGACATACAGCTAGTATGTGGCAGAGGCCAGCCCAGACTTAAGGTCTCTTGACTGCCAATCTTGGGCCCTTTCCATGATGATTATGACTTGCCCTTCTACAAAGCATTTCCAGTTGATATTGTTTCCTAATTCTATATTGCAGGCCCAGGGCCAGGTGTTTGGATGAATTAGCTCTTTTTGTTAGACCATGTGGTTCACTCCCCCTCTGTGAACTTGGAGAATAGAAGGCCTGGGTTTATGCTATAGCCTTCATTCCCTTTGAGATCAAACAAGTATGCCCTGGCAGGTGTGGCTCAGTTGGTCAGAGCATCATCCAGTTGTGGATTCGATTCCCGGTCAAGGCACATACCTGGGTTGGTAGTTCGATCCCCCCAATAGGGTGCATACTCCATGTTTCTCTCTCCCCCTTCCTCTCTCTCTAAAATCAATAAAAACAGCCTGCATGGCTCAGTGGTTGAGCATCGACCTATGAACCAGGAGATCACAGTTCCATTCCCAGTCAGGGCACATGCCCGGGCTGTGGGTTCGATCCCCAGTGTGGGGTGTGCAGAAGGCAGCTGATCAATGATTCTCTCTCATCATTGATGTTTCTATCTCTTCCTCTCCCTCTCTGAAATCAATAAAAATATTTTTTTAAAAAATAAAAACTAGAAACATATGCTCTGGTGAGGATTTAAAAAAAGACGGTAGACCA